TGGATGTAGACCAGGGTGTTCCTCTTTACGACGTGCAGCGTCGTCTTCGGCCTTTTTGGCCTTTTTGCGTGCTTCAAGAATCTTATCACGGTCCGGCTTTCCCAGGAACCACTCTTGCGCAACATCAAGTGGGTCCTTGAAACCCATGGATTCTGGTGTCTCGAACCAACTCAGTATACTGGAGCTTCCAGCCGCACTGATGGCGTTTGTTCCCGTAATGGTGAGATCCGGTTCGTTTACAACGTGGAAGAAACACAGTGCTCGTGGCCATAGGATATCCCGTTCTGGACCGACTGAAGCTGGGCTTGAGAGAATGGGGCTTGATATTAGCGTGGTGCGAATCCTGACCCATGAGGCTCTCTGGTCTAAGTCAGGCAAACCGTAGCCTTTCCAGCCAAGCCAACGCTTTACGCTCGATTTCCATTTTTCAATGTTTTGCTCTAAAGATGTCAATTTTGTACGTTTCCGGTGACGGATGCTAATTTCCTCGTTGATGGAATCAAGGGGATCCTCAAAATTGATAATGGTAGCAAGCACACCATTGGGTGCTACACGGATGCATGTGCCAACAAGCTGTCTCTCTTCGATTTGGGTCGAGACGCTGCTCAAACAACGTATGGTGTTCTTTCGGTCGGTAAAGGTTGATAACAAAAGCGTGCCGGAGCTGGCCCAGTGAACATTGATACTGGTCAGACGATGCACCTCTGGTTGGGGGTCAACCTCGGTTTGAGCATCAGCAATGGACTTGGAAGCCTTGGATACGAATGTGCGATAATTCAAAGCCACCACTTGGCAGTCTTTGACAACATGGAACGAGATCAATGCGACGACAGACGATGTAAAAAGCTCATAGATGGTGAAGCAATCAGGTGGTGGGGGTGGGTCAGCAGACTGTTGCGGCTGCGTGCTTCCCTGCTGTGCGGGCCTTGGATTGTTGCCGCTTTGTAAGCCTCGTTGAGGCGCGTTTGTTGAGGGTGGGTGATTCGAGGTAGCAGGTGGGTGCGGAGCGCCTGGGCGCATGGGCGGACGGACTAGATCGATGGCCTTGATAGCGCCCGTGTGTTCGCCTAGAAAGTGTCAGTGTTGAAGTGGGATGTCTATGAGGGTCATCGGGGGAAGAAAACGGACGTTGCAAGCGGTAGCCGTCGACTTCTGGCAGCTGGGGACTGGCTTGGCCTAGCTTGTCAACTGTGGTCGGCTTGAACACCCAGAGCCAGGGGCGCGCGGCGTCGTGCGCAACCAGGTGGAGAGCATGGCGCAGTTCAGCCTCGATAGCACGTGTGTCTTCAGAGGGGCTCCAGGATGGAGGTGGTTGTTTGGAGGATTGTGGTGAGGTGGTAGTGGAGGTGGTAGTAGTATTGGTGGTGATGCGGGTGACGGAGATGGCTTGGTAGGCAATGGCTTCAAAGTCTCCTATCGCTTGCGCATTGGTTGTGCACGTCTTGAGAAATTCCATTAGAGAGACGGCTGCCCTCTACGGAACATTCAGGTGGTATTCGCGACGTATCTTCACTCCGAGGACGGCGCTGTACACCTTTTCCATCAACTGCGCTGCGGGCCGCTCGACGCGTCGCGCGCGACTGCAACGATTACAGCAACGGGGAGGGCGTGGAAGGGGAGACGGCGTCTCTCAAGCCGGCATGGTCTGGTTGGGGCGTCTGGTGTAGCGGATGGAGCATGGCGACCGCTACTGCTGGCCGGCCCCGACGGTGATGGGATGTGCGGGCGCTGGGGGTCCCGGGCGACGGTGGGGGATGGGCGACAGGTGACGAGCAACGAACGATAATTAGGTGATGCGCGATAGGCCCGTCTGGGGAGGGGAGGTGAAGGGTTTCAGACACGGGCGTGGACTCGACGCCGTATGCCGCGATGCGACGCCGGATACGGTAGGCAGGATGTGGACTATCTATGTCTAGATGTATATAGTTGTGCTGGGGGGTGGTGGAGTCGGGGGAGCAGCTGGGAGCGAAGGCGGCTCGGCAAGCGGCGCGTTGCCCTAGGAGCCATGTCCATCCATATCTATAGCCCGCTGTCCGCAGCTGTGGGAGCGCGAAGCCCCGGTCAGCCCTGGCCCGTGGGCTGGACCCGCTCTTTTTTTGCCCGCACCAACTTCTTCATCGTCTGCTTCTTCTCCGTCTGCTGCTCTTGCGGTGCGACCTTATCTTTTCCTACCGCTCCGTCGCGCCACCATGAAAATCTCCGCCGGAAACGTGCCCGTCTACACCATCAGCGGCAGCGAGGCCCGTCCCTTGCCCGAATGGCTGATTCGCAAGCGCAAACGCAGTCTGAAAAACGACCCCGAGTTCGCCAATCGTGTTGATTTGCTACAGGATTTTGAGTTTGAAGAGGCCAGCCAGTGCGTGCGCGTCAGCGAAGATGGCGACTGGGTCATGAGCACCGGAACATACAAGCCCCAGATACATGTTCACTACCTTCCCCACTTGTCTCTATCCTTTGCGCGCCATACCAATACTCTTGTATGCATCCCATATATCGAATTTGTACTTCACCCAATACTGACCTTCTGCTAGAACCAAACCTTCCACCTGCTCTCGTCCGATGCGACCAAGAGCGTCCATCTGCAGCAAGACCGGTGCATCGAGTTCCATACTGGCGGAGGCCTCCACTACGCCAGCCGCATACCTCGCTATGGCCGCGACCTCATATACGACCGCCGATCCGCCGAGTGTCTGGTACCATCCGTTGGTGTCAATGCTGAAGGAATGGGAGAGTGCTTCCGGTTGAACCTCGAGGTTGGCCGCTTCATGCGCAGTTACGAGGTTGATGTGGGCGGCAGTGACGACCTAGCTGCGGGTGGACTGCAGGGCGGCATCGACGCTGGTGCTGTCAACACGGGCGCTATTGCAGAACAGACGCACGGCCTACTGGCACTGGGCACCTCACTGGGCACTGTCGAGTACTTTGATTCGCGCACCCGCACTCGAGTCGGTATCTTGTCATCTCCCAAGGATGCATTCGAGGGCCGCTCAGAGACGACTGCCCTTGCATTTTCCCCGAACGGCCTGGAAATGGCTGTCGGAGATTCCAACGGTATAACACACCTCTATGACCTGCGATCTCCTAAGCCCCTGTTGCGAAAGGACCAAGGATATGGCTTTGCCATAAAGAATATCATATACCTCGATGGCGCACAGACACCCGAGCCAAAAATACTCACTGCCGACCAGCGCGTCATCAAGATTTGGGATGCAAAGGACGGCACTCCATGGACCTCTGTACAGCCGTCTGTCGACTTGAACCACGTCGAGTGGGTACCCAAGACCGGCATGCTGCTGACTGCAAACGAAGGAAGGCAACAACACTCCTTCTTCATCCCGCAACTAGGTCCAGCGCCAAGATGGTGTCATTTCCTCGACAATATCGTGGAAGAAATGGCCGAAGACCCCAACGACCCCAACGCTTTCGGCAAGGGCGCCGTGGGAGACGTGTACGACAACTTCAAGTTCTTAACCATGGACCAATTGAAACAATTGTCACTCGACCACCTTGTCGGAACCACCAGTCTCCTTCGTCCGTACATGCACGGTTTCTTCGTTGCCCAGAAGCTGTACGAGGAAGCACGGCTCATCTCGAACCCAGATCTCTGGCAAGAACAGCGCGCCAAGAGCATCGCCGAGAAGATCAATAAGGAGCGCGAAAGCAGAATCCGCGGCAGCAAAAAGGTGGCGGTCAAGGTCAACCGCAAGCTTGCCGAGAAGATGCTGGAGAAGCAGGAAGAGCAAGAACGCAGGCGCGCCAAGCGCGTGCTCAAGAACGGCGGCGACGACGATATGGTCCAAGCCGCGCCCGCTATTCAAGAAGACGGCACCCAACCCGCTGCCGGCGGTGTGCTCAACGACCCGCGTTTCGCAAAGATGTTCGAAGACCCCGAATTCGAGATCGACGAGCAAACCCGCGAGTTCCAGCAACTCAACCCCAGCACCAAGATCCCCAAGGGCCTCACTGCCGCCGAGCAAGAGGAGCTGGAATCCAGAAAGGGCTCTTCGGACGAAGACTCGGATGGTAGCGATAACGATTCTGAGGCTGACCAAGTTCGAGCACCCAAGAAATCTCAACAACAAGACACCCGCATCTCATCTAGCTCCTACAAAAAATCAGGTCACCGCTCCCAACGCGGCCCGGAAATGCACGTCTCATCTTCCCATAACAATGCCAATAACCACCGCTCCTCTGCTGCAGCAAAAGACAAGACATTCGGCTCCCGCGTTTCCAAACTCAAACCCTCGAAACATGCTGCTTCCTCGTCGTCCCGATCAAATACAACAGTGGTGGGCGAGCGCGAAATCACATTTGCACCCGAACGCAAGCAGAAGAAGAGGCAGGGTCATGACGGTGAGGAAGGTGGTCAGCGACACGACCGGAGGAGAGACGGCCAAAGGAGAAACGCCAGTGGTAATGTGTTTAGGAATATGTAAGATGTTCTCTTTTTTATTTTCCAATCAGCTATGTGAGAGTAATGATACCCTTTTTTTCTCGTTGATGATTTGAGGAAGATTGGAAATTTCAAAATGAGCTGTGAGAGGTTGGGGGGGGGGGGGGGGGGGGTGAAATGATTTGGGGCGAATGTTATTACTAGTACAATAAAAGTTGTTGATGATTCATGGATCGGAAATGGGGGTGGAATGAGTCAGTAATGTTCTAAGTCGGAACACAAGAAATGAAATCAAGATAATCCAAGTTGAAAAAAAACACTCTCAGAGTATAATCAATGTATTCCAAGTCGGAAAGCCTGCGCCCCAGGCACAAAAGATATCTTAAACCAGTCCAATCCTATCGGACCATGTACATGTATGTGTTGAAGAAACGCCTCCACGCACTCTACACTTCTACTACAAATCCTACCAAGACGTTGGACGTCCCTCTTCCCCATCACGCCTCAGTTCGCTTTAAGGACACGTGAACGCCTTCACGGTCCCTAGCTTTCCTTTGCGTATTCATTTGCTTTGCCTGATATGTGGCTGATATCCAAGCTTCACTTTCTACTCAGTTGACTGCTTGTTCATGAAAGTGTAGGCGGCAAAGGCAAGGGCTCCACCGAGGAGGATAATGGCGTAAAGACCGACGCCAGTCGAGGCACCGTCGGTAGCAGTAGCAGTAGCACCAGCTGGTGGGTAGCTCTTGGGCTTTGGGTCGCCCTCCTACGCGATGTGTCAGCCAAGCCTTGTCGTTGACCGTCAAATAGTTTATCCCGGATGTCTCTTTGGGACATGCTCCGAGATATTTCCGCATGAGCGTCTCCGCCGGGAATGGCGGATGTCGCCTTTCCGCAGCCGGGGACCGAAAACCCCATGTGCTTGGCGGAACTTCCGTTTGCCTGGGGATTCGAAACATCCGGCTATGCGTTGCCATCCTCGGAAATTAAAGATAAAATGTTGAGGAAGAACAAGAGGGAGTGGATGTGGGAAATTCAAGTCGTACCTTGCGCTCCAGCTTTCCAACGTACAGACCCTCGAGAATCTCGCGAGCCTCGTCGGAGTGGCCGACATCCTCGAATGCTTCTGTAGAGTCCTGGCCTCCGACGTCGAGCAAAACTTCTTCACCACCTCTGCATGTCAAAATGTCAGCTATTGTTTTGTTGCCTGAAATTTGGGGGTGAGGAGTAGCAAGCAACGGCCGAGGTCCAAGGTGGGGTTCTTTTGCAATCACCACCATCAAAGACACCCGCAATGTAATGTGCAGTATTCAATGGAGGCAACGTACGGGTGCTCATCTACAAAGCTCGAGGCGTTGTAGACCTTGTCGTGAACGACAATGTACAGATCCTTCTTGGTGTTGTGTTCCGAAACATCGGAGTAGCTGAATACCTTGTCCGCCATTGTAGAAATGAAGAATTTGCGAGCGTGTACGGGGAGGTGGTCGAGATTGCGGAATCTACTTTGGTAGGTGCGATACGAGGGTGGGAGGTGGTATGCGGGTGCAGAAGCGGATGGTGGAGGTGAGGTGTTGAAAAGTAGATACGGTGTACAGAAAGTTGCCGATTCTCGTAGCGGCTTTAGGGCTCGGCTCTAGGTAGGAGTCTACGACAAAAGGCAAGACGACAAATTCCGAAGCCCCGATTGGCTATCGGATACCTGGCTCGCCGACTTCCGCTCCTGATAGGCCGACCAGAAGGGGTAAGAAGACCCTGTTGCGCCTTTGCCGTGGGGACGCCTATCGAACGGTCGCGGGGCAGGGCAGGGCAGTCGATTCACTTTGAGTAGCCGGTTCCGCCCGTTTAAACGTATCGCATGCATACTGCATATACATACTGCATAGACATACTGCATAGACATACAGGCAACAAGCAAAGAAATATGTCATGCGATCAATTTCATTAATTGTACTACGCCATCGTCACGAGCCCAATACCTTGACTCTCATCCACTCGCTCGTCCCGACACCGAGATTCAGACCATTCAGCGCCCACCATCTCCTCACGGCCTCACCCTTGGCTCCCTCGACCCCGTCTTCCAGGGCTTCTTCTATGTCACATGTCTTGTACTCGACTTTCAACCCACTGCGCTTCCACCACTCGAGAACGTGGGCGTGGCCCATCTTAGTAGGCCCCACAAGAACCTGGTTGTCGAAAAGAATTTTCTCACCACGGAGTTTACGCCAGTAGTCTAGAATGTGAGTATGGCCATGGGTCGAGGCAACCTTTGCAATCGTGTCCTCATGAGAGAAAGGGATGCCCGAGTCGACCCAAAAGATGATTGCTGGTAGACAGCCAGACTGTGTTGCGTAAGTAATGGACTTTCCGACCTTGAGCGGTAGGTCCTCGCGATGCGATTTGGTAGGGGCGTCTTCGTCGATTGGGCTAGACGGGACGGAAGGGGCAGTCCGGTGGCGGCTATGTTCCTTCCACCACTTGAGCACATGAATATGGCCCTGAGAGCTTGCCTGCTCGAGTGCCGCTTCGGTGTATTTGAGCGCAAGACCAGAATGGTACCACCAATCGAGGACTTGGACCGAGTTGGCACGGCTCGCATCGTCAATGGCCTCATCAGAGTACTCCTTTGTCAAGAAGGCAGGCGATGTTCTCCAATAGTCCAAAATCTCCGTCTTGCCAAACACAGAGGCCTTGTGAGGTAGGAACGTGTGGCCAAAAGTTCCCCAGAAAAGATCCTTGTGGCATGTTTCCAGATGGGCGAGCACAGGCACCATGGCAAAGCGCATAATGAGTTCAATGCAGAGGCGTGATATGCGTGTCGGCTTTTCCGTGTCAAAGACCTTCTTGATGTCCGGGTATGGATATGTGAGCAGGGCCCACTCGAGCTTCTGCATTTGCGTCTTTGGACCTTCGTCGCTCGCGGCCTGGCGCCATTCTTTGGGTATTGGCAGGTTTGTGTGGACGTTGAGCGTGGTTGCTAACTCCCAGTCTTTTGTGAATTCAAGGACGATGGACCAGAGCTCGGGTGGGAGACGGGGCCCTTTGCTCCTCGTAGGCGTCAGTGTTGGTAGATGGGCAATGGGCAGGGCGACGGTGCGGTTGCCTACAGCCATGAGGTCGATCTGAGTCTGGATGGATTCGTTAAAGGCTTTGTGGCCTTCTATCCACGGCTGGTATTTGCGGCCGGAGTGATCAAACGACCAGAGGAAAGGGGGCAAGACGCGGATCCAATTCCACTTGCGTCGGATCTTGCTGATCTGCTTCCGCGACATGGGGTTCTCCCACATCAGTGTTGACATTGCGGGTATGAGCAGGATCTTCTTGGACACGTTCCAGCTGCGCAAGAGCTGCAGGTGCAGGTTGGTTGTGAAGCCATGGAGCATGCGCGCCAGGTTCTCTGCATTGAGTGGCGCAAGGACCAGCAGGTCTGCCCAGGTGCAGTAGTCGGCAACGCATGTGTCGAGGTAGTCGGCATGCTGCCAGCCGGGCGGCGCAGTGTCGTCAGGCGTGTACGTGTGCCATAGCGGCTCGAGTTGGGGAGGAATGGTTGTCTGGGCGGCGGCTGGGAATTCTTTGCAGGCAATGACCTTTAGAGAGACATTGTCGAGGCGGTGCAGACGGGCGACAATAGAGCAGCCAAAGCGGAAGGCCGAGGGGTCTGTCAGGGCGACGAGGACATTGAGGGTCCGGGCTGGTGATTGTGTTGCCATTGGGGGAGGGAGAAGGAGTGTTTTGGGGTTGCGGTGAGCAGGACAAAGGGCAGTGGCAGAGGGAGTGTGTTAACCCGCCGTTGGCCGCAGCCCCACCGGGCCCTCGTGGCTATCTAATCTGATGCATGTGGCAGAGAGGGCGAAGGGGTGTTGGGAACACGGGGTGGGTGTGTGTGTATATGGATAGATGGGACGCAGGCGCAACAGCAGGTGTAGCATGTGCATGTGCATGTGCATGTAGTAAGTAGGAGGCGGAGGGGCCAGAGGGGCAGGGCGGGCAGGGCGGGCAGAACATGGGGCATGGGTATGGATGGGCAAGCAAGGCAATGGTGGTGAGGGTCACGTGCAGTGCGCAGCGACGGCGAGACACTTGTTCCGGTCCGGGCGGGCGTCGGGGGAAGCAGACCGGGGCTCCGAGGCAAGAGACGCAAGAGGCGCAAGAGGCGGGCGGGTGACGTCATGTGGCCCCTGGTGGCAAGGCAAGCACAGCCGCATGGGCGGTGGGTGGGCCGTGGCGACGCCAGCATGCAATTGTCGCCATAAAGCCATACTTGCGGACCACTTGGCCACACCAGAGCTTTTCACGCCTCGCCCGTCCTCTGCCTGCGCTATGCTGCACTAGGCTTGAATCGTCGATCCCAGAGATGCACCAGCTATCCCCAAAGCCGGCGACGATCGACGCGCGACGCCGTGCACCAGGCCATCCAAGTCTCTGTCCAGCCGGTCATGACTGCTGTCCAGCTTCGCCTGTAGTACGATACTGACGTCCTCTGCTTCACTGTGCATGCGCCGCCCCAGCTACTCGTAGGAGCCCTGCCTCCCTCTCTGCGCGCCCCCGTCTGGTGCTGCTGCTGCTGTCGCCTCCCGCCCGCCGTCGACATCTAATCCTCGTCCTTGCCCGCTACCCTGTTTCCTCCAAAAGTCCAGATTTCCTCGCCGCCCCCGCACCCTCCACCTTCAGCAGCAACACTGCCCAATTTGATGCGTCTGCCGGCCCTACCCTACCCCGGCCACGACGACGACAAAATCAAAAAGGGGTCTTCTGTTAGCTACTATCAGTCGCATCGTCATCACTTTCGCCCTCGTCACCTGTTCACCGGTCCCTGCATAACGCCAAGTCAAGGCGCGACTCTCCCACGCCCTCCCTGAATATTCTCCCCACGCCTCATTCCTTGCTAGAAGCCCATGGACGGTTGAAGCGCCCCAGTCTCGACCGTGTGCCGGTGTTCTTGTATTCCTAGCGGCCAACTGGGGCTCCAAGAACCACTTCGCCTTGCCAGCCTTCCGTCTACGCTTCATCGGCAACAAGAGACGGCCCACGACTGCTGCAGCGCCTCCATGTCTCAATCATCCGACCAGATTCCCCAAGATGGACCCTCTGCCCTCGACGCCGGCCACCACCAATTCTCCACTGTCTCTCCAGTGCCAGAAGAGCCGCCATCACCATCGCCATCTGCCGCCACCGACACCATCGACTTCGCTGCCACACAACCTAACCAAAGGTCGCGCGCTTCCACTACCGAGACAGCAGGTCCTGTCAGCCCCTCTGCCGCCAACGATCGTGTCTTCCCTATCCGCAGTGCCATTAGCGTTGACCCTAGTCCCACGCCCAGGGGTCAGACTGCACAAGGTGACTACTTCCACCCCTACTCCAGAGCAAATGACCCTCGCCTTGCCACCGATACCCGTCGTGCCTCTCAGGGCTCTCTCACGTCACAATCCTCACATGCGTCGCAACGTGCGTGGGCCATGCGCCATGGGCCAGGCAAGATGGTGCAGAGAGGCGGACAACCTATACCCTCACAGCTTTTCAACGACATGTCGTCAAATAAATCCAATGGGAGCGTGAACAATGACAGCCGGTCGCCGTCCTTCAAACCCGAACAAGCACCTTCAACAAAGAGCGGCATCAGCAGTATGGACATGGGTGACTTGGTCACGCACCGATTCAAGCACGTCTCCACCGAGGGCGGTCACATGGTCATAACAGGACGTGAAGGCGAAACGCTACAACGGTGCGAAGACGAGCCCATCCATCTACCGGGCGCTGTACAGGGCTTTGGCCTCTTGGTAGCACTACAAGATGATCCCGATGGCAATCTGCAGGTGCGTATTGTCAGTGAGAATTCACAGCGGATAATAGGACGTACCCCAAAGGAGCTCTTCGCTCTGGAAAGCTTTACAGATATCCTCTCCGAAGAGCAAGCCGACAACCTTCTCGACCACATCGACTTTGTCAAGGACGAAGAGTCCAATGTCACGTCTAACGGACCCGAAGTCTTCACCATGTCCATCAAGATCGCAGGCCACACTCGAACCCGCAAGCTATGGTGCGCGATTCACGTCAACGAATTCAACCCTGGTCTAGTTATTTGTGAATTCGAGCTTGAGGAAGACCCACTCTACCCACTCGTGCCACCCAACAACAACACGCCCGACCTACCCGAAGATACCTTGTCCAGTCAGCCTACTGCTGATGAATTCTTGGAAAGCACAGAGATCAAAAGTAAGCCTTTGCGAATTCTGCGCAGTGCACGGAAAAGGAAGGGCGAGGCAGCGGCTATGGAGGTCTTCAATATCATGTCGCAGGTGCAAGAACAATTGGCTGCTGCGCCCTCACTAGAAAAGTTTCTAAAGGTGTTAGTTGGGGTCGTCAAAGAGTTGACCGGCTTCCATCGCGTCATGATCTATCAATTCGATCAGAGTTTCAATGGCCGTGTCGTCACCGAGCTCGTAGATCCTCGAGCGACAAAGGATCTCTACAAGGGCTTAAACTTCCCTGCCTCGGATATACCCAAACAAGCTCGAGAACTGTACAAGATCAACAAAGTCCGCATGCTATACGACCGCGACCTACAAACGGCGCGACTCGTCTGCCGTACGGCCGAAGATTTGGAGGTACCCCTCGATCTTACCCATTCATACCTTCGCGCCATGTCTCCGATTCACCTAAAATACCTCGCAAACATGGCGGTGCGATCGTCAATGTCGATTTCGATCAATGCTTTTGGCGAATTGTGGGGTCTTATTGCGTGCCATACGTACGGGCCTCGTGGCATGCGTGTCTCTTTTCCCATTCGTAAAATGTGTCGGATGATTGGTGATTCAGCATCGAGAAATATCGAAAGGCTGTCGTACGCATCGAGATTACAAGCACGCAAGTTGATCAACACAGTGCCAACACAGCACAATCCCTCGGGGTACATCATCGCCTCCTCTGACGACCTCCTCAAACTTTTCAACGCAGACTTTGGCCTACTATCGATCCGTGATGAGACCAAGATTTTGGGCACTCTCGAAAATTCACAGGAATCTCTCGCCATGTTGGAGTATCTCAGGATGCGAAGGATCCAGGCTGTAATGACTTCCACCGACATTGCCTCGGACTTTCCAGACTTGCGATATCCGCCAGGTTTCCATGCCATTGCCGGAATGCTGATAGTTCCATTGTCCGTCGATGGCGAGGACTTTATTGTCTTTTTCCGAAAGGGACAACTCAGACAGGTCAAATGGGCTGGCAATCCTTATGAAAAATATGTCAAGGAAGGCACCGAGGGTTACCTGGAGCCACGAAAGAGCTTCAAGACCTGGTCCGAGACAGTTGTCGGCAAGTGCCGGGAGTGGACAGAGGAAGAGATTGAGACCGCCTCTGTGCTCTGTCTGGTCTATGGAAAATTTATTGAAGTATGGAGGCAAAAGGAAGCTGCTCTGCAAAGCAGTCAGCTGACCAGATTATTGCTTGCAAACTCGGCACATGAAGTCCGTACACCACTAAACGCCATCATCAACTACCTGGAGATAGCGCTAGAAGGGGCTCTAGATACAGAAACACGAGAGAACCTCTCCCGGTCTCATTCGGCATCCAAATCACTCATCTACGTAATCAATGATCTCCTCGATTTGACCAAGACTGAAGAGGGCGGGCCCCTTATCAAGGGCGAGCTGTTTGATCTCAAAGACACCATCAGGGAAGCCACAGATATGTTCCGCAATGACGCCAAAAGAAAGAACATCGACTATCAAGTCATTCAGCATCCAGGCTTGCCTGATCACTGTATCGGAGATCAACGACGAATACGGCAGGCCATCTCCAACATTACAGCCAATGCAATTCAGCACACCACTCAAGGATGTGTAAAGGTTGAAGCATACGTTGCAGCCAGAACGGGTCGAGACCACGTCGATATCGAAGTAGCAGTGTCTGACACAGGTGCCGGCATGAGCCAGAAGAAGCTTGATCAGCTTTTCAACGACCTCGAGCAGGTGCAGTCTGAGCCTGCCTCCATGCTAGAGGATGCCTTGATACCAGATCAAAAAAAGCTCGCGGAACAAGGTGAAAAATCGACGTTGGGTCTTGGGCTAGCCATTGTAGGACGTATCATTAGAAACATGAACGGACAGCTAAGGTTACGCTCAGAGGAAGGCAAAGGCACAAGATTTGTCATACAGTTACCGTTCAATATTCCAGACTCTGAGGCAGACAGCGTTACCACTGGTGGAGCCTCACCTGTAGGAAGCGTTACGCCTCACGCCGAAGAGCCTCTGCCTAACATGTCCAGTCCCACTGCTGGAGAGCGGACGCTGATAGCGCCAAGTCTGTCTCGCCAGGGTTCTGCAGACGAAGATGAAAAACAGACAAGTCATGTTGTCGTACGGAAGACTAGTACTGGGAGTTTGACGAGCAAGAATAGCCTCCGAAGTTTCAAGACTAGCTCGAGTCAAAGAAGCGATGTGGACAGACTTATTGACGCCATACAAGAGCCACACTTAATAGGGAGAGGTGACGCGAGCCCAGGCTCGCGGTCTATGAGACCAACTCTGACGAAACGCAGCAGTCTAGATCCGGATGCATCAGCCGCTGCCCGTAGGAGGTCCAAAAGTCTTGAAGACTTTAGTAGCCAGACTGTTGTTCCGCCTCATCAAAGAACCATGCAGTCAAGGGTACCTGGTGAAGAGGCAATTCCCGGTTCCGATGCTCCTGTCGTGGCCTTGAAGGTTCCCGATGAAGGCGGTAGCTCTCCGATTGGTGTCCGCCCATCTGGAAACATAATCGGTGAGGTTGCTGAAGAAGAGCCTGTACAGCCGGCTGCTGAACCGAAGCCTTTATCAGCTGACAACATGCGTGTGCTTGTTGCTGAAGACGACCCGGTGAATAGCAGAATTGTTAAGAAGCGGTTGGAGAAGCTTGGACACCACGTTCACCTTACCGTGAATGGTGAAGAATGCGCATCTGCATACTGCGACAACTCCAAAGACGTTGATGTCGTCTTGATGGATATGCAGGTATGTGCGGTTGACTACGTATATCGTCTGACATGAACTAACCATCATCTAGATGCCAATTGTGGATGGACTCACCTCGACAAAGATGATACGATCATTTGAAAAGTCACATGGTAACATATACTCTCCCCGAGCAGCCCTTTGCGGACGCGTTCCTATCATTGCAGTCTCAGCATCCCTGGTTGAGCGCGATCGCCAGCATTACATTGACGCTGGGTTTGATGCCTGGATCCTCAAGCCGATTTCATTCGACCGGTTGAACCGACTTATGCGCGCCATTGTCGACACAGATGTCCGGAACGACTGCCTGTATCAGCCTGGTGCGTGGGAAAAGGGCGGCTGGTTCCAACGCGGAAAGCATACCGCCGACGAAGCCGTGACGAAACCGTCTAGTGAACCACCAGTCTCGAATCCCTCAGAAGAAATGGAGGAAGCAGGAGTACTTCGCTCTGAAGACCCAATGGCTGGCGAAGAAAAGGAATCAGGTGATATTCCTGAAGAGC